TTTTTTTTTTTCTTTTTATCATGCCCAATAACAAATTCTTATCTTCGTTGCGTATTCCCGCTTTCTTTCGTCGCATCTTTATTTTAGAATTGAATATCGGCCAACCGTAGATTCCATCGCGGACGAAATGATTGAATTTTTTTAACGTTTATGTAACTTCATTAAAAATAACATCGGTCGAGCGTAAAAAATAAATAGCGATGCGATAAATCGGTATTTTTCGAGAACGGATTTTTTTTTTCATCTCTGTAAAAAATTTCTCATCTTCGTCATTTCATTTTTATTTCATCGTGGAACAACCAACCGTGGATTTTTGCGCGCAAAATGGTCGAATGCTTAACGAAGCTTTTTAACATTGATAATTTCATTGAATATAAATAATATTCCATTCGTGAGATACGATAAACAAATTCTCCATCATATTTCTATTTTACGAATAGAATTGATCGACCGTGAAAGATTATTGAAGAAAATAGGCAACACGTTTTCAACACGTCCTATTTTTTAACGTCACATTTTTTTTTTTCAATCAAATCCAAAGAAAAAGAACATGGAAATAGTTCCAAGATCCGGATGCAAGCGCATTCCAAGAAGCCTGAATATCGGTAGCCGCATTCCTCGCGGCTAAGGGATAAAACGACCATAACGTCTCGTTCAGCTAATGGCAGAGGCTTCAACGAACCCTGCACTCGCCCCTATTTTTACGCTCCGAGCGGAAACACGCCCGTTCAACCATTCATAACGCTCCCGAAGGCATTTGCACACGAGAGAAAAGTTACGTGCTTACACATTTACATCCCCTCCTCGACCTTCCTCCTCCTCTCTTAAACCTCTTTCCATCGTTTGTCTTCGGCGTTCAACCATCCCTCCTCCTCCTCCTCCTCCTCCTCCTCCTCCTCCTCCTCCCTCCTTCGATCCATCCCTCACGTCGAGTATCGCGAAAAGCAATTCGGCTACGGCGTACTTCCTCCCCCTTCCCCTCCTCCCTTTCAACCTACGTCCGTATCTCGGCGCCAGAAGAATCTTCACGTTACCTGCAACGTTAACGAGCAACTGAAAACTGCATCTCTTCAAACGAGAGAAACTGGTTCTTTAAAAATCGTGCTACCTCGTCCTCCACTGCTCTGTTTTGAACGCTCCCCTCCCCCTTACCCTCGCTCGTCGCTTTTTAATCCGCCGGCGAAACCGAAAAGACACGACGTTGCGAGTTCTTTTTTTTTTTTTTTTTAACCCCCCCCCCCCCCCTTCCCCCCGCCCGCCGCTTTTTAATCCGCCGGCGAAACCGAAAAGACACGACGTTGCGAGTTCTTTTTTTTTTTTTTTCTACGCCACCCTCGCCTGTTCAACAACTGGTTCAACCACCGAGTCGCGCGTCCGTTTCACCCTCCTCTGGACCTCCGGGTTTCGTTTCGTTTCTCGTCACGTTTTTTAGTTGGCATGGTTAAAAAGCTTTCCCTCGAACGATTTGCTATTCTCGCGATAGTAAGAAAGTGCAAGAGATGTTTTTTTTTTTTTTTTTTTGCGTCGAATGAACTTTCGATTCCGGGGATAAAGCAGTGTTTAACTGTAAGTGTAACTGAAATGAAGAGAAATAAAGAGAATTATTTACAACGAACGTCTCGAAGAAGATTTGGAGATAACCGAATTATACATTTATTTCTTCGATGTCATTAATTCTGTGGTATTATTACACTGCTTGCTTGGATCTCTCGAACTATCTAAATTATATTTCTGAAGGTGTACAAGGCCTCGAAACGAGGTAATATATCTTTGTCACTGTCGCCACTGTTTTAATAAATAAGGATCGCGAATAAGAAAGTAAATATAACTCTGTATATAATGTAACGAAATATATACATTTACATAACATTTACATAAGTATTTTTCCTGATTTATCCTCGATGAGAATAAGTTTGAGAGAACGCATATACACTAAGTCGAATTAAACTTTCAATATTTAATTTTGAATATTCGAAGGGATTGAGAAAATGTGGATGAAAAATCGATTGAATGTGGCATTGATTAATCGTTGGGGCAGATATACTTGAGAAAGTGCATCATATTTTATAGTTCAGTACACAGTTCCAAGGGGGTAAATTGCGAGGGTAAAATCGAAAATCTAGATTAAGGGGAATAATGATCCTGGGTGGAGAGCATCGGCACGAATGTATTGTTGGAATCCTGCTTATCTAACGCCGCCTACAGGGAATACCTAGTTATCCTATTACCAGTTATCTGAAATTTCGCGCGGGCTAAAATATCTAATACCGCGTTTCGATTGCGCTAGTGATGATTGATTTGATATAGAGAGGGATGCAAAGGTTAAAGTGCTTCCGTTCACACGAAATTGTGAAATTTTAAAAGGTTATAAAATAATCTCAGGTAATGTTGTCAATATATCACGCGTCCATAAAAATATAATAACGTATAAAATATCAAATAATGATGAAGCTATGAAATAAGTTGTATATTTTTAGTATACACTTTTAGTAGACAACGGTTTAGTTTGTCGAGAATAGAATTGAGAAATTATTTTTCTCAACACAGTTTCAGTTTAATGCTTGAAACAGAAGTGTAAAAACAACAGTACGGAACGAATTGTAGAATTTGCAGTAGTGATGAAATAATATAAGTACGTTCTTAGTCAGACTGCGTACATCTTGATATTTGACTTAACTTGTACATATAGAAAGTTATATGTATTTGCCCGGTTAAACAATGTGATATTTATTCTTGAAAGTAAATACAAGTAGTTAGAATCCGTATAACATCTATAATAAACTTCGATAGAAATAACGAAATAAGCTTAAGCATTGTGCAGAAATGACACCGTCGATGAAATTTGTCTACTTCTGAGACGTGATGAAACAACCAAACTCTCTTTTATTAAAAATAAAACGTATTAAATCAATCTCAACTAACAGTAATTTTATACTGTTTTTAGAGAAATCAATTCTCAACTTGTTATATTATTAAACTAGAGATCTGCATCTTTTCTCTCTCCTCATTTTGAACTTCGCTCCTTTCGAGTAAATCAATAGAAAATCTATTGATCTCTAGTCTCTTCTTTTACATTCCTAGTATTTCCATTTTTCGACTGTATCCTGATGATGAAGGAATTAACTAAGACCAATTTATTACAATAAAAAATTTTGCGAGTGAAAATTAATTTTACAGATTTTACTAATTTAAATTATCACCGGATCCAGGTGTTAATTTAATGTAATTAAAGTTTAAAAAGAAAGAAAGGAAAAAACAGTACCATTTCTCGAAGTTTCATTCCATTTATTCCTCTTATGCTCCGTGCTTTGCATTAGGAAACGCAATACCTAATATTAGTTCAACCCTCCTGTTATCTTTATACTTTCTCGCCATGGTCTGTCGCTGATCTGCTTAGAATGGCACTTTGGGTACACCCCTCTAGAACTCGTCCAATATAATACGCTTTATTATCGGGTTGTTTCGTGGGGACGTTCATTTTCCTCCACCCTTCCCATACCGCATAATCTAGAAATAATTTGTAGAATAAGCTAAAATTCCATTGGGTTTCATTGGGCGACACGATTCATCCGCGATAATTTAAAATACGATGCAATATGTCGCATTTCGTATGTAATTGCGGCACGACCGTGAAAATGCTCCAACGAATATTAATAAAGGGATGATAAATATTACAACGCCCTAAACTATTTTCCATCCCTACGTGTGTCTTCGTATATGTACATTAAACATGATTAAACTTATGGCGTAATTAATATTTATCGTGCCCTCTGGGGATTCAAAGCGTGTAACGAGATGCTGAATTAAAACAAGCGGAGACGTTTAGAACGAAATATTCCAAAATTTATTAACGCGTCCGAAACGAAAATGTCCGATTATTTATAATCCGACTAATAAATCTTAATATCGCAATTATCGTTAATATTCTGCACACGGTGAATTATCCGACGATCAATCACCCAATCGCCTCTATGAATTTTGTTCAAAGTCGAACGATTAATAATGAGTTCGAGTTGCACAAAAATGCAACTTGTCGCAATAAATATTATTCTGAATATCGGTGAAAATTTACGTACAGCCATAATTTTTCTTGAAATTCGAATCTTTCGCGATCATCTGGCCTCTACCTGGATGCCACGCGTGACATGACGTTCATTTATGATCGATCACAGTTACGCAGTACAGTTCCTCCAAAATTATTTCTTACGACTAATTATCAGTTTCGAGCGAGTGAACCGTTTCAACTTCAGCGAACAGTGTCCATCTACAACGGAGAATAATTTATCACTTCACGAACTTCCATTCGACAAATCACTTCAGACTAGTACATACACTACGAAATTGGAGTTTTAAAATAAATTTCCACATTTCGGGGAAACAATTCTTTCCTCCAACGATATATATATATATCATATATTCCAGCATTTATAAATTGAAAAAAAAAACGAATTTATGCAGAATAAAAAAAGAGGAAGGGAAGAATGTGTTCTGTTGCACAAAGAATATTATATCGAGGAAAGTTTCTACACGCGTTTCCGTACGCGCGAATTCCTTGGAAACACCATTCAAACGCTGCAACTTCTCCGATCCACCTTAATCCCAACGTTTCTCCCTATTTATTCCCTATTTCCCTGTTCCGTGACGAACGCCACGACTCTTAGACTCCAATCTCCGTATTCTATTTAAACCGCATTCCGCTCGGTCTACCGCGATAAGATGCTCGAATTCACGGGAAAAGGGATCTGCCCGAAGAACTCCATCTCCCGCCGGCTAGGGAACAAAGTGAAATCCGAAAATTGGGGGAACGAGCGTGTCTTCCGATGTCTTATCAATCTCCAACGTTCGCGTGAAACGCGAACAATGCCCCGCTCGGAAGGGATGCAACGGCGACAATACGCGGCGCGATTGAAAAATCGAT